CCTTACAGTACTACAGTCAATTTCCACGTCTTCCATCATACATCATCCAACCAATTTTCAAACTCATGGCCAGGAAATGTTGTGTATGTACCCTGGGTCCACCAGCGGCAGATCTGGGCACAAAACTCAAACAGCAACTTAACAAGAATTCTAGTTCCGTTTCTTCGAGGAGACTAACTACTCAGTGTTCCGGGAGCGGGGGAGCAATGTCATTGGTGAAAGGTATCTCCTATCTGACACACGCTGAGCAGTAAGGACGCAGTTATACATTGGATGGTGTCTGAGAAGTACCAAGGCATCAGATAAGAGACCATATCTAGCCCTAGCTGGTTTGGCTCAGTGGATAGAGCATCAGCCTGCGGACTGAAGGGTCCCAGGTTCGATTCTGGTCAAGAGCACATGCCCAGGTTGCGGGCTCGATCCCCAGTCGGGGGCATGCAGGAGGCAGCCAATCAATGATTCTCTCTCATCATTGATGTTTCTATCTCTCTCTCCCTCTTCCTTCCTCTCTGAAATCAATAAAGAAATATATTTACAAAAAAAAAAAAAAAGAGAGAGAGACCATATCTACTCAGGGGACTTCTGTTAATGTGCCCAGCAGAGTGGGATTTTAAAATACCATGTTAATAATCATGGGATCTCTATTTCAGAAAAGAGACCTAGAATGGAGAGTAAGTTATGGAAATGCCTTTATGAGGTGCTATCAAAGCACTTTACTATGAACAATCCATTAAAGCTTATTATTTCCCAACAAGTAATTTTCAAGTCCTTCTTTCTTCTTCTAACCTATCTCTGGTAAGAGAGCAATAACTGACCTCAAAGCACCTCAATAAACTGGAGCAGAAACCTAGGCACTTGGAGAGTTTGTTCTACAAACTCTGGTGCCCTTCACAGCAGTACACGCTTAGCCTGGCTTTGCCCCAGGTAATCACTGAGGCTAAAAATACCTGCTCTGAGACCACTGTACTCCCTCAGGACAATCCTTATCCACAGGACCAGAATGCAATGAATAAGGAAAATGTAAGACCAGTTTTTTTAAAAGCTCTCAATGAGATCAAAATATCACAGGGTGCAGATAGTGTGTAATTTGTCTGCTAAAACAGAGTTCTTCAAACTTTTTACAATTAAAATCCACAGTACAAAACACATTTTACCAAAGAATATCACTAGTATGCATACACACAGACTTTTTTTCTATTCCATTCTGTTCTGTTCCACTTGTAAATAAAATCTCGGTTGTAACCTACTAGATCTAATCATCCATTAATGGATATCAACCAGCAGATAAAAAACATTGGTTTAGAATTCTTCATTCCATTTCTTTAAAGTATACTTTTTATTTTGGGGGGAAAAACGATTGTTACAGGACATTCTTAGAACCTACACTGGATGGTCTATCACTCTCTATTCATTCATTTACACATGCAGCTCTGCCTTCATCCAGTATCTGGCGAACCATCGTGCTGGGAACTGAAACTCAAAGGTGATGAGATCCAACTCTACATTCTCCAGGAGCTTAGTCTGCTGGTGCCTCTCAAAGGATCTGGGATCAACTTAGGATCTGGGATCAACCTGGGACCCTATCAGTCCTGGATCCAAATTTGCAGAGTTAATGAGATAATGAGTGCACATAAAGCACCTACCAGTGCCTGACATATAGTGATAGCAAATGATACTGATGACACAAAAGATAATGAATTTTCATTGCTTATTATATTCTGGACACTAAAGGCTTTACTTGTATGATTTCATTTTAACACTACAGCAACACTGTTATCTAGGCAGCTGTCCATAAATGCCATCTAATAGTAGAGGACCTTTCCCGGTGCCAGTGCTGTAGGAGCCCACCAATGTTATGATTCTAATATCTTTCTTTGCTTAAACTAATATGTCTAGGAGAATGGGAAGGAAAGAGAGGAAGGGATACAACTGGATTGGGGATATTTAATTTTTTTAGTAAAACTGACA